CTTCTGGTAGTTTAAGCTTCTTTCTGCCTTTTCACCTACTTTTCAGCTATTTTTAGCCAATTTCCTAACTTTTGTGCTCATTTCTGCTCATTTAAACCAAATTCAGCAAATATGTGTTCTTTATACTTTCTTCTGCTAGCTTAGGCTTGTTCAGTTTCAGCTACATTTCAGCATGTTTTTAGCTAATTTCAGCTGTTTTTCCAGCAGGTTCTTCAACAAGTATTCACGCTGCTTTCTCACAGGAAATGCAATTTATCTAGTTTTAATTTGAGACTCCTTTATTCCCATGTTGTTGCACGTTTTGTTGTCTTTTGGCTGATAAATACCGTTCATTGGGAAGAACAGTGCTCGCTCTCGGTACAACCAAAAGAAAAGGTTGACATTTTGTCCACAACTTACAGACACAAACTAAAATATGAATTTCTCTGCAGTAAGAGCATTGTACCAGGCAGGAGGCTCATCGAGCAGCGTCTCAGTTCAAACTGTGTGAACAGATTTATTATTATGACACAATGTTTTATTCTTCTGGCTGCTCGTGTTGTGAGGTCTGAACAGGGACAGAATAATGGCTTTGGTGGTGGAGAACATGGGGGAGGGTGGGTGGGAGTTAATTTATTCATATAAACAGATTATCCTCGACTCTGTGTCCCGAATTAAAACTTTTAAAAAAAAGTAGAAATTAGAAAATATGACACCAGTCTGAACCTGGTCTCACTGCCGCCCTCCTGTGGACACTCTGCAGCATGACACCCTCCACTTGCTGCCTCTCATCTCTCACCAGGAAGTCCAGTTTTCACCCAGAATTAGAGGTTTTAATAAGTACGAATCACTTGTTATCAGGGCTTCTAACCAAAGAAATGTTGAGAAAAAATAAAAACCACACAAACTCGTTTTCACAAAGAAATTTATAATCTCTCTAATGTTACATTAAACCAGTTGGGATGATACATGCTTTGAATCAGAATAAAACAATCCAACAGGTCTCCAGAGAGCATGACAGAGTGACGAGTATCTGATTACACACACTTCTACTCCCCAAAAAATACAAAATAAAAATCTAAGCTCTATCCCCCACACTTGTGTTTTCCTCCAAACGTATGAAAGTATATGCCGACAATAAGCATCGATACAGGACATGGAGAAAGCAGGAATCTCACGAGTTGCTCGAAGGTTTTCATTTCGTCTAACCGGGTCCGAACTCGCGCCTCCGAGCAGAAACTTTCTGTCCATCAGTGCAGCTCGGCCTTGTTGCCATGGAGATCAGCCAGGCAGCTGAGCCCATGCAAAGCCTGCAGGTAATCAGGTTACACAAACGATAACTTACAATCTCATCCATGTTTTGTTTCAAGGCTGGCCTGCACTTGAGGGGGAGAACAACACGTGGCTTAATGAGCTTTCCGGGAAGTTGTTGCATCTTCCTCATAACCGCGGAGGGTTCTGAAAGTTTCTGCTCAGCCCACGACGAGACGAGCTGATCAATGCTCAGGTGAGAAAAAGGACCACCGACATCGCCGATGACCTGGCACCGAATTTCCACAAAGTCTTAAATAAGTGTTCACACCCTTTAAACTTTTCTACATTTTGTCAGGCTACAACACACAGTGGGAGACAAATTATTCATATTTTTATTTTATTTTTTATATGTATCCAGATGAAAGTCGGCGTACATTTGTGTTCAGCTCCCTTTACTCTGATGCAGAGTTTTAAATGTTTGCTTTAACGCACCTGATTTGAATGAATGAGCGATTAACAGGCTTCTGCAGAACTTGGAAGAGCAGGGAAAGAAGTCAAACATGCAGGACGGTGGCCCTTGAGGGCCAGAATTGGACATCAAAATCCAGTGATGCCAGTTTCCATCAGATGTCACCAAATTAGTGTGTAACTAATCTTTAAATACAGCTGTTGTGTGTCGGCCGCAGATGTGCGACAATGATCAAACAGCATCATGAAGACCAAGGAACAAACATAACTGATCAGGGATAAAGTTGTTGAGACGTTTAAAGTAGTATTTATGTTATAAAACAATATCCCAAACAGAGCTATGTTCAATTTGTGCTTAAAAATAGAGAAGTTCAGGCAGAACTGCAACACGGCTGTCCACCTAAAGTGGGCCAGGCAAGGAGAGCATTATTTATTATTAAGCTGAGCTTTCTGAAAGAAACTGGTCATGCTGGGTTTTAGTTAGAGGCGTCAGAGTACAGAGGGCTTACTTTTGTGTTTTATTCGTACAAAACTTTGGAAAACCTTCAAAAGTATGGAGCACGTCAAACTCAAAAGCCACGGGCCACATCTGGTTCCTCAAGATGATAATTTAAATGTAAAATATTGTATATCTGCTCATTTTTTCTTAAAAGAAAACTGATAAATACATCATTTAGTACAGACTTCTTATGCCAGCTGGTTAACTTTGAAGCCAGAAAGACGGCTGGATCGTTCTGTCGTTATTGATCCTGATGAAACAGAATGTCAAGTGAGGCAGATTCTTGTTCCTGAAACTGCAAACAAGAAAAGATCTCAGGCGTCTGACTCGAGTGAATGCATCAGCTGGAAGTGGACCGTGGCTCGGACAAAGGTTTTACATTTTGGCTCCTTTAGTACACGATGTCCAACCATGGTTCTTGAGGGCCACCATCCTGCATGTTTCACGTGTTTCTTTGCCCCAGCACACCTGATTTGAGTCAATGGGTGATGTCCAGGCTTCTGCAGAACATGAAGAGGTAACCATTGAGCCAGGTGTGTTGGTTAGTGGCCCTCCAGGACCAGGACAGGACACCCCTGGTATATCTTATAAAATCCCAGTAAAATGGTTTGAAGTTTGTGGTTGTAACGTGAGGAAACAGGTGGAAAAGTTCAACGGGTGTGAATACTTTTTGTCTTCTGTTTTGTATAGTGTAATTTGGAGGGGGGGGGGGGGGGGGGGGGGGGGGGGTGCCTTAAAACAGGAAGTCAATGAAAGCTCAGGTGGCCACGCTGCTCTCCTCCCAAACTGAACCTTTACTGTTCTGTCTCCAAAATATTCCTTTCCTCAAAGTCTCACATCAGAGTGGACAATACATTTAATCATAGGGAACCTCCTGTCTGATGGGGGTCTCGTCTTCACCCCCTAACGTCATCATCATCATCATCATCATGATCATAATAATAAACATTTACATTTCCGTCACTAACCTCACTGATTCTAAAGCTACAAATGAACAAAGTATTTCTATCCTGGAGCACAAAGACGCAGGATAAAAGCTCACTGATTAGATAAAGTATTTCCAAATAAGTTAAACCGACATCGTCAAATATTCTACTTTTCTCCATTTAAATATTTTCTTTTGTCTTACTTTAAATATAATTATTAGAGATCTTGCAAATATACTACACTGTGCATTGGCTGTTTGTTTAGAGTGCCCGGTGCTTCCTGATTCAGATATGTACACTTCATTAGAGGGAAGGTCGTGACGGCGTCACGTCCCTTCATTTTTTATTATATATTTATATTTCATTTGGTCAAACCTCATTTAACACTGCGACAAGTTCCTTCTTTTTTTAATTATTTTTTTTTAATTACTCTGAAATGAACTAAAAAATAATGCATATTCTCTTCTCGATTTGTTAGGCTCATTGTCAAAAATAGAAAATCTAGAAAATATATTGCATATGCCATCTTAGGAAATCGACATAATAAAATATTCTTCGGAAGGAGAATAAATATATGATCTATTTGAAGAATCGGGGGGGAAATTGTCAGGATTTGATTTAGTTTGGGTTGCACTGCCCTGAAAGAGGGAAAGTCAAAGATGGCTTTAAGAGTGTGGAGAACTTTTACGGCTTCTTAAAGAAAACGTGCGCTCACTGCTGCGCAGGAAAGCAACCAGGGGACTACTCCACTTTAATTTATTTTACTAAACTCACGTTCCGACTCCACTCGAGTGAAAACACTTGCAGGTTAAAAGGCAAAAAGGAAGAGCGTGGTTTGAAACCAGCCACAGCTCAGCTTAAAGTATCAACCCCCCCCGCCCGCCCCCGTTTATCCACATCTATCACAGTGCTACGTTTGTCCTCACAGCAGCTCAGGACGCCGTCCGGACGCCTTCTGCGAATCTAATCACATCAACGCACATTAATATAATTATATGTCCACAGAAGCGTGACCACACAACAGGAATGACTGGCTCTACGGCTTCAGGTCACATGACACGCATGCCGACTCCTCCGCCGGTCGCACATTTATACAGCCAAGCAGCCTTTAACGTTTCCTTCTAAAGGTACAAACGATGTACCCTACCCCCACTACTCGCATCCTGCTAATATATTAGCAGGAATATTAAAAAAAGGAGTTGATTGTGAGTTGATGGAAAGGAATGCAGTAGTGCAATCTAACATGAGAGGAGACGGCAGTCCTGGCTCGAGCCACATCCTTTGGTTTATCTTGGCTCTGACAGGACTGAATGGACATATAGAAAATAGAATTTACTTTGCTAAAATGTAGGTAATTAACATTTTTCCTAATGTTTTGCAAGAGGATTTAAAAAAAAAAAGGCTAGAAAACACCACTTTTCGTCATACTTGATGGTAAATGAAATATCTTTGCATTCTGATCTGTCATTAAGTGGTCTCTGCAGTTTTCCGACACTTTACAGTCAATACATTAGTCGCTGTTTGCAGACTGAGCCCAGCGTGCGCTCCGTTTCTGTCGTCTGCTAATCAGTTTCGTGGTTGTTTGTGAGCCGTCTTCAGCTCTCCCTGCCAGTCGGACGTGAAGTCAGGATAAATATGAGGAATACTCAGGAAGAAGGAGCCTCAAGCTTTTCAAAGGCAACACGTCATCAAATCAGAGCCGCTTCTTCAGTTCGATGCTAATCAACGTTGAACCACAGAGTCCCTACACTAAGGAAGGATCATTCAGTCGGGGGCGGGACTGCATAAAAGCCTCCTAAAAAGCCATTCTCACGTTTAGTCATTTACCCTGGAGGACAACGCCCTCCAATCAGAGGAAATGAGATGAAGCTCGTCATTAGCTGATCTTTTGACTCCAGCGGGCGGAGAACCGTTACCGCCGAGCAGACGGGAAAGGCTTGTGTTCCTCGACTGCACCTTAGCGCCGGACGATTCACGAGGCAGCGGCGTACAAATGGAGCAGGACTGTTGTGCTAAGATGCTTCAGAGGAAACGGAAGGATTGCTGACCGGTTTGACGCCACTATGATGACAAATCTGATGAATGACATTTGCCTTGTTGGCTTTTCAAACCAGTTCTGGTGCTCTGACTGAGAAGAACCGTACGAGTTCTACAACACTTATGTGCTTCATTTTCTGTCCATACATTTGTCTAAACCAATCCCCTTCCTTCTCCTGGTCAGAAGGGGTGTTCAATCCTTCAAGTGCCCCTTCTCTGTGCAGGGGGCGGAGCTACGAGACAATTAATTCAAAGGTGCGACAGCCTTCTAGTCCTCTACTGCAGATTTTTCAAGATGCGTCCGTAACGGAAGTCGTAGACGTGCCGGCAGAGGTACACCAAGTCGGGGTCGATGTCTGTGGGCACACAGCGGTGGGAGGGGGGCGCGAAGTCAGGGCGGAAGGGCACCACGCTGGCCCCACCAGGTGGAGCGCCTTCGGCACGCCGCTTTATCAAGGCACAAAATCTGGGGAAGTAATTAAAAGATGACACAAATTACCTGGTAACTTTTCCTGGCCTAGATTTTATACAGAACTATTACCAAGAGACAAAAACATAATAATAAAATAATAAAACAATAATAATGTGTCGTCATCGGAGAAACAGAGTATTATTTTCTGTTCTAGAGATTCATGAGTCAAGATATAATAAAATATAATATAGATTTTACCAGGTTTAAAATACTTAAATTTGTGTGTATATATATATATTTTTTTTTTTTTTACAAAATTCTGAACAAATGTATTAAACAGGCACAAAATGGAAAAGCTGTGTGTGAAAAACTCACCCATTGTTAAACAGCTTACAGCAGCATCTCTGCAACAGCAGAAATGGCTCCTAAGAATCAGTTTCTGACAAGTTTTTTCTGTCTCTTGCGTGGTTGTGGAGAAATGTTGGGCCACTCTTCTTTACAATGATGCTTAAGCTCATTGGGGTTTGCAGACACACTTTGACTGGACCACTGCAACACCCTGACACTTATCGAAGTTCATGCTCAATAATCCCGGTAAAAAATTCTACAAAGTTCAATCTGGTCATCTGGACGTTTTTCTTTTTTTTTTGAGACGTTTCGTCCTTCATCCAAAGGACTTCATCAGTCCGAGGAGCCACAACAAACTTGGTCCCACAAGCAGCACACTCACATAGTGGACCAGCAAGTTTGATGATGATAAAATGGTTTCTGGGGCCCGCTCTCTCCTCTGTCGACTCCTCTGAGGCAGCCATAGCCAAAGGACTGATGAAGTCCTTTGGATGAAGTCCTTTGGATAAAGGACAAAACTTCTCAACAAAAAATGAAACTGTCCAGATGACCAGACTGAACTTGGTTGGATTTTCTACCTGGATTATTGAGCATGAACTTTGATGTTTTGAACCATTTTGGCTATGGCTGCCTCAGAGGAAAGGACGGGGGAGAGGGCGGGCCACAGAAACCATCTTATCATCAGCAAACTGGCTGGTCCACTATGGGATTGTGCTGCTTGTGGGACTGAGTTTGTTGTGGCTCCTTGGACTGACTAAGTCCTTTGGATGAAGGACGAAATGTCTCAACAAAAAAGAAACTATCCAGATGACCTGACTGAACTTTGTTGGACCTTGACACATTTTTGATCCATCCTGTTGTAGAGTTGTGTTATGGATCATTGTTCTGTTGCACCATGACCCAGTTTGGTCAAAGCTTTAGCTATCAGATGGTAGGGGTGGGCGATATGGCTCAAATATAATACCGTGATATTTCAGAGCATTTTGACGAAAACAATAAATTTTGTGATATAACAAAAAAAAAAAAAACAGAAATCATAGTTGTTTATTTGACAAAATTAACTTAGCATGTTGCTTTTCAGTGTTATATAAAATAAAAAAAAACAAGGGTTAATTTGACTGAAATTACTTTTTTTAGTAAAGTCTTCAGTCTCCAAGTATAAAAATAAAAAAAGATCCTTCTGTTATTTAGATTGAAAAAGTCTGCACAAAATATAGATCAATAAACCCACCACAAAAACTAAAGTGCAGGTGCAGTTTCCCAAAATAACTAAATAAAATAAATTAAAGCTTAAGATCTGTTGAGCATAAATGTAACGTACAACACAATACATGTTGCCTTTAAATGAGCTATAACTTCCAGAACTTGTAACAAGGTGATCAGCTGACCCTGAAGCTTGAGGTGTTTCATCTTCATCTCTTCCTGCAGGAATGATTCATTTCTCTGATGCTGTCTCTGATCACATGACTCTGTTCTTGGTCCATGGGCTGTGGAACTAAGAGACAGTTGAGCTGCGCGTGTTTGTTTTTAGCTTTTTAGCTAGCTAGTATAGCGCGCAACTAATTAGCGTTATGCCAGTACCAACAGGTGGAGGGGGGGGTGCGCAGTTCGGTGTGGTCGTTGGGCGCGCTCAGTTCTGTTGAAGGGGCAGGGCGCCCTGACGTATTACGTCATGAAATTAGCGTATCATGATATTATTTTTTTGCTCGGACAAGCTTTTTTTACCGGCATTATCGTGAACAATATGATATGACCCAGCCCTATCAGATGGCCTCACATTTGACTCTAGAATAATTTGGTCTACAGATCGACCCAGTGACTGCAATTTGCCCAAACCATCAACCTTCCACCTCCGTGCGTGACAGTAGTTGGGAGGTGTTGACACGCTTGGCTTATTTATTTTCAAACATGGTGCTGGGAATTTACTTTCAGTTTTAAATTGAAAAGAAGCAACAAGCGAGAACTTTTTTTTTTAGACAAAGCGTTTTCCATTTTGGTTTCGTTTTTGTTTAACAAATAACCACGTAGATGAATCCGTTATGTATGTTTGCACCCTCGAGGTTGGGTTTAAACTCTAATTTTAGAACCTGGTAAAGAGTAGATTATGTTTTATTCAGCTCTGACATGTAAAACCCTAGAACTTAGAGAGAATACACTTTCATTTCCCCTTGATTGTGTCCTGAAAGAACTGGGCTGTCAACTGTGGTTTCTGTGAGCGTTTACTCACCTACAGTACTGGGCAAGTGGGAGAACATAGCATCTGTCTTCGATGCAGGCCACACTATTTTCATCCTGATGCCGAGAGGCGAAAATCTCATTCTGAAAGCAACAGTGGGTGTTACAGCGTCACATCATCTGTACAAGTGTTTCCTTTAGCGCTGAACAATCACTGAAGAAACTGCAAAGCTTTCCAACTGTGAGGGAACTAAACCTGTTGCTGTGCGATGTTACTGCGCCTCCATCTTTTTTACTTTATGAGCCTCTTTACAAGGAAAACAAATCCTGCTTTACAGAACACATTTTCACTGAAAACTCATTAAAATATTCTGACAGTTTCTCTCCCCACTATTGTTTTCTGCAAGGCTGAGGTCGGAGAGATACCATCATTGTTGGCATTGCTGTTAGACGGCGCAGAGACCCAACTATCAACAGTTTCAAGGCTGCTGGGGGAAAGATAATGATGTCTCCAGCAACTGTCCGTGTTGACATTATTTTGCACAAACAAGCAGTTTAGTTCACCTCCTCCTTGCACATTATTTTAGTGCGGCGCTGTATACGACGGCAGCTTGTAAGATTTATATTATAAGACACCGTTTCAACGTGTGTTTGTCACACTCAGGCCGTTTTTAGTGCAGTTACTGAAGCCGGCACAGCTGCCATTTACCCGCTGGGAAAAATTAATTCTTAGCTGCAGTCCATTCAAGCCTCACCTCACAGTGTGTGCCAGGATCTCGGCCGCCCTGGGTGTGCTCAGGTCTGTAGTACCAGAAAAGGCTCATCATCAGCTCTCCTGAAGAAGAGAAACAGACAGAAAGCTAAATGTTTTTCCGTCTACAGCCAGCCATTCATGCAACCGCACCGGTCTTTATTTTTACCTGTTTTGGGGTCTTCCCAGAGTGCTGATATCTTGGCAACGTATGGGAGAGATTTCTTCCTGGGGCCGGATCGTAGCAGCACGGTGTCTCTTACACAGATCACCTCTCCGTCCCTCTCGACGCCTTCGTAACACTGCCGCACAGCCGCCTCATCCTCGCCCTGGGGTTGAAGCACACAAACGCATCACGGGGACAGATAGACACAGCTTTAATATGATTAAAAATAAATACTAAGATGTTTATTTACATTATTTTTTATTATTTAATCAGGGACAATGCATTAGGCCTTCAAGTTAGACAGGCACTGGGGGAATCAGAATATGATCTGCACCAACCGATCCTCAGCTTGATCGTCTGGTCCAGTTCTCAAACATCAAACATTTTTCCAGTCAGAGCCACTGTCCTAGTACAACATGGGGTCCCTCAAGGGTCTATTTTAGACCCACTGCTTTTTAATCTTTACATGTTGCATTTGAGGTCCATTTAAAAAAATAAAATAACATCCCTGCTGATGATATTCAGTTGTATTTGCACATCAAGTCAGACAAGGTCACTCCACTGGAACCACTCTTGAACTGTCTAAATGACATTAAAGTCTGGTTAAAACTAAATTTCCTGAATCTAAATGAAGGTAAAACTGAAGTTGCCAGCTTTGGTAAATGTAACACCCCTGACATTTTTTTTCCCCCTGGCTTCATACAGCCACTCCACTGTCAGGAATCTGGGTTATTTCCAACAGCACTTATAAATTAGACAAACAGATAAATGCAGTTGTGAGATCCAGTTTCTTCCAACTAAGACTCATTGCCACACTGACTTCCTGTCCACGTCTGGATTGATTTTAAGATTGTATTGCTTGTTTTTAAAGTTTTTAAAGGTCATATTTATGTGATGTTCTTAACATCTACACTCCAGCTAGAGCAGGTTTCTCTTGTTGTGTGTTGTATTTGTTAACTTTCTTGTGCTTCCACAGTGACACAAGATGTATTTTCTTGTTCTTTTTTTCATTTTCATTTTAATTTGACTTAAATGTAAAGCATTTTGGCCAGCTTTTGTTGTTTTATGTGCTATATAAATAAATTGATGTTGACCTAGGGGCTTAGCTATGATACGTTCGCTCAGACCTTTTGTGCCGTGCCTTCCCTCTGGACAAAACAAAATATTTAACACTATTAAGATATTTAAGACTACAACAAAGTGAATCAAGTAACAGTTGTTTAGGAAAAAAACTCCATCTTTATACAATTCTTTTAAATTTTCTTCTAGTTCTAATTATTTAAATGTGACTTTGTTTTTGTGTCATTTTGTCTCTAGATTTCTATTTAGGCTGTTTTTTCCTGCCAAACATGAGACAAACGAGAATGACGCGTTGCTAAAATAATAAAAACCGTCTGCTCCATCAGCTGATGATTACAAAAAAAATAGACAGAAATTAAACAAAACGTGCCATCGTCTCTTTAGAACCACAGAAACCCAACCAACAAAACTACAAAGGAGCTCCGTATTCCCACAGTAGCAGAAGCTGAATGAGTCGATTTCTCTTGTGCAGAACATTTTTAAAAAGAATAGAACCGCTCGATCTGTTCTAAAATTACCAACACAAACTGGAATTTGGCAGAAATCCTGAGTTCTTTTGTTAACGAGGGTCCATTCCATTTTTACCACAGTGCTGCTTGTGACTTAATGTTTTATTCTCCCGTCACGCTGGTTCTTGCTTCGTGATAATTATCACCTTGTCTTTTTGAAAACATGAGTGGCTTGCATGACAGGAGTCTAACGTTTCAACAAGCAATATTAAATTTATTCAACTTCACCCTCGAACTGGTTATTTTTAATCTCTTAACCATTCACTGTAATTCCTCTTCCATGTCTTTGGTTTGCAGCTTGCTTTTTTCTTTAAGATATTTTTTCTTATAATTACACGAGTGTCCCGCTCAGATCCAGCTGTGAGAGCAGAGTTTTCCCACTTCGGCCATTTTCACTCTGACTCTTCGTCCCCGGTTTAAAGTGATACCTCATTAGCCGACAAAATTTTCCTATAAAAGATAAAAAAAAACTTTCTCCTCTGCTCAACATCACTTCTATCCAGGTCATGAACAGTAAGGAGAGGATCTCCTCGCTGCACTGCCCAGCATGACACGTTCACTACAATCTGTTGCAAAAACAAGTCCAACTGGAAAAACCAGCTAAATTTTAGCTCCGTTAGAACTTTTTAGGTGCTAAAATATATATTAAAAAGAGTTGTCATGTGCCCACTGTAATAACCCTGCACCCTTTATAGGGTTTGTGCTCCACAATGTGAAAAGCACTGCACTCGGGGCAGCCCGGCTCCAAAGTGGACGTCAAGCAGATGTTAGATTAGCCGAATGAGCTAAAGCAAAGTGTTTTGAAATGAAGTCAGAGGCAGCACAAAAGGTGGGGAGGTGAATAATATATGGACGCAGACGTTTTCCCCTCAATCACTTTGTTTCATTTTCTTTAAATACAATTTATATATTTTTTAGAGTAATGTAACTTTTTAAGGTTATGTAGAAAAGAAAAACCAAAAGCCTTTTGGGGCCTAAGATTACTGCTCCGACTACATCTAGTGACTGTTCATTATTTTTATTTTCTAACAGATGAGAGGTCCACTGAATTCCCTGAGCACAACACGAACTATAATGGATAAAGACACTGATTACCTGCTGTGCTTTTCATACAGCAGATACGGACTTTCAGTTTATTCTTTCATATCGGCATGCTCGGCAGCTGTGTAAATGCTAACACTAGTGCGTTGTGGATCAAAATAAAAAATATAAAAAACTAACAAAAATAAACAAGACGGTTTTATACATCATGCTCAGCTCCACTCTACAAAGACGTTCTCACAAATTACCTACCGCAACAAAGACCTCCCTCTCTGTAGGTGTCCCAACAGGCCGCCAGCCGTTGGTGGCTCGTCTTCGGCTGACTTTCTTCTGTTTGCTGAGGGTTGGGACGGGCGACAGCTGCTTCGTCAGTAGCTGAGTACGGCTCGTGGACAGGGAGCTGTTGGAGACCTTGGCGCTCTGTGGGCGTCTCTTTAATTTGAACCTGGCCTGGGGCTGGTCCCTCTCAGACAGGGGGCTCAGCAGGCGGGTTTTAGTCTGTGTGGAGGTGGGCACGCTGGATAGAGGACAGCTGGAGATGGGCATGGTGGGGGGAACCAGAAGGGAAGGGCTGTGACCCCCCGGCGAGGAGGAGTAAGTCTCTGAAGAGGAGACAAAGTAACAAGTAAATACATTTTAACATTTTTACTTTCACACATAAAACGTTAAACTCATAAACTAGAAAAACTGATTTCTTACACTTATGAGTTTTGTGCTAGAGCCTTAATTAACCAGCTACGATCCGTTTCTTATGATGGTTAATGTTCACCAAGTTCAACTACTACTGTTTAACTAAAACTGAACAAACTTTTAATAAGAAAACTGAATCCATCCTCCAAAAATGTGTTTCAAATAAAACCTACTTTTACTTTTTGATCATTGAACAAAATATATGCAGAGTATTTAACACACTGTTCATCAAAAATTATTTTTGGACTTTTTAAATTGAATAATTGCTGCTAATATTTTACAGTTGGCTCATATTCAGTTGTGGTTTTAATCATCAGGTACAAGCCATGCCTCTATAAAGACAACGTGCCGTGGTTTGGAGATGAACCTTCTGTAACGATTTTGTGAGAACCACATAGGTAACTAGAACTCTACCACAAATTAGTTTTGAGGCTGATTTGTTTTTATCAAGCATTCATATAAACAACTCTCACAAACCCTAGTTTGAATAGCAATTAGCCTAGCCTGGATTAAAACATCTGCCTTTTCCCTCATACTTCATATTCTGAGACTGATAATGTACCGATTAATATTTGACAGAACATTATTTCAAATATGACCACACTGTCCCTTTAAGAGGTTTTTCAATTCCCACTCACCTGTCTTGATGCCGTGCGTACATCCAGCACATCCTGCACTGAAGGAACAACTGCTGTTTGTGACCGGAGGCATTGCTCTGTAGGTGTAGCCGCCGATCCCACAGGCGTCTCCATAACAGTGCGAAGCCACGGAGTTGTAGTAGGTGGGGTGGGCTAATCCCGAGGGATGGGTCACCTGCCGTCCCAGCAGCTTGGAGTCCGTGATAGGGTTGGGGCACAAACTGGAGGAGGTGAAGTTGAGAGGTCGCGTGGTTAAGGTTGCCGAATTTGTTCCAGTGTGTGTCGGGTGGGCTATGTGGACGTAGTAGCTGGAGAAGCAGTGGTCGGCGGTGCACAGGCACGTGTGGGGGCTAAGGGTGAGTGCTGTGTGTGGGTGAGAATGTGTGAGTGACGGTGAGGTTACTAGGCACTCAGGCTTCACGGGGGTCATGGCTGACTTAAGGGACGGGTCTTCTGAGTCTCCGTAGGGCTGCTGACCAAGGAAGTAGGCCAAGCGGTGGCAGTATTCCACAGATCCTTCAGTAGGACAGCAGTAGTATGGGCTCAGTTCAGTCTCCAGTTGTTCTTCCTTAACTTGCTTCAGTGGGTAGGCTAGCATGCTCCGAGACTGGTAGCCCGGCTTGGTCAGGTGATGGGTGCAGCTGCCTGTCTCCCACTCTACCTTGGGCTCAAAGTCTACCTGCTTCTTGCAGCTTGTGCAGCCACTCGGTGACGGAGGGACTTTTTTCTCGTTCTGCTTTTGTAAACTTCCCTTGTGGTGGAATTGGACCCTGTGGTGCTGCTTTGGTGTTGAGACTGCAGCTGGAGCCACACAGTCTGAAGCGATAGCTACCAAGGGTGTAGCCTTTGCTCTCTGTTTACTAGTAGCAGAGGAACTAGTTAACTTTAGCAGGGCTGCGGCATTGAGTCCAGCTAACCGTCTGGGTGCAGGAGCATTCAGGCATTCTTGGCTCATCCAAATGCTTCCATCACCTCGCCTAACTTTCTTGCTTAGCTTAGAGCTTTGGCACAGATCAAGCTTGTCAGATGTAGAGGTTTTCCTAACGTTCTCTCGAGAAGCTTTGAGACATCCAGTGACAGTACTTCTGCCCAGATCAGGAGAAACCCCTCCGTCTACAGACTCTTCCTGTCTCCTGGCCTGTTTGGCAGCTGGTTGGGCATCAATGGGTCTTTCAAGCAGTAGACTGTTCACTGCTTCGGCATTGAGAGAGGCCAGTCTGCGTTTGCGTGGTTGCAGGTCTCCGAGTCCAATGCACGCTGCAAAACTTGGGCTTTTTCGTTTTAATTTGTTTTTTGGTAATGAACTTGACTGTTTTCTTTCTTTACATTTCCCTGTTTTGGATTTGGAGCAAACTTTGCCTTTCCTTTGTTTCAACCTTTCTTCCAAACGAGTAAGAAGAACATGGCAGCTTATGTCTTCCCCATCTGAATTCCCAGCCCTCCCTCGCAAAGGGTACAACTTGCGGTCCCGTTTCTTTTCTTGCTTCCGGTCTAGCTTTCTGCTTTTGTCTGATCGTTTGACTTCTTTCTTCTTGTTTATCCCCTTAGCCATGACTTTTCCTTGTTTAAGGATTCCACTTATCTTCTTTGTCCTTCCAAACCGTAACGTACGCTCAGGCCAGTCACCACCCATTGCGCCACCATGAGGCCAAGGACGGTTGTTGTCCCACCCCTCAGCACTACTGTGATTCCGGCTGAGGGAAGCAGTCTGCCTTGCGTGAGTCATCACATGCTTCTCCACAAATCCTGAAAATAAGGTGCATGATATAATTAAAACTCAAGTTTACCAAATTTGAAAATGCAAAAACGAATCTCTGTCTATCTACAGAACAGGCAGTAATGTTTACATTAAACTGGGTTAAGACTGGTGACTAGATGCAGACATAAAATTGTAGAAAATTTATAAATTGGCTAAATGAAAACAATAAAAATTTCATGTCACTTAGCCAAATTTCGGTTTTATTGGTTGTCAAACCCTTCCGAAGTTTTTTAAAATGTTTTGCACTTTCTGACTTGTGTAAGTTAAATAGAGGTTCAAAAAGGGTCCACAACTCTGTGACGATTCTTAAAGAGAATTTGATTAGCAATTTTTTTTTGAACAGTTCAAAATTGTTAAGACACAAAAGCAATGTCCTGCAACTTATGAGGAAATTGAGACGATCTGAAAACATTTTGAGACATTTTGGAAACTCATTGCTGTCACCAACAGCTGTAGACCAGTGAGACACTGGGCTTAAACTAAACTTTCTAAAGTTAAGATTCAGATTAGGGGTGCACCGATTGCAGTTTTCTGGCCGATCACCGATTTCTAAAAAGTCTGACCTGTCGATTCCAATTTTGGCCGATACCGATTTTGTTTTATAAGCAACACAGTCAGGTGTTATAAGGTCACAATGCACCTTCAATGTTCCAATCTTATTTTGTTGAAAAACATACTCTTGAATAATATCCTAGAAACAATACAAACTTGTTTTAACTGGCCGTGAGGTAGTGCTCTGAAATGTAAATGAAGTTCAGACAATTGTTGTTAAAACTAAAAAAAAAATGGTAAAATCAGTTTCTCATGCAAGTATCGTCCGATTTCCAATTTCCCCAAATTAAGGAAATCAGGGCCGATTTATCGGTGCACCCCTAGTTCAGATCTTTTGAAATGAGCTTCTGTGGGAAGTTAATGAATGACTGATATCCAGACTGTTGAAAGTAGCTCCATCCATCCATTATCTTTACACACATCATCTTTAAACACTTCTTCCTTTTCGGGTTGCGGGGTCACCGATGCCCATGTCCAACTATCACTGTGCGAGAGATGGGGTACACCCTGGACAGGTCTCCAGTCCATCACAGAGACACACAGAAACAAACGAGACAAACAACCATTCACTCTTTCACTCACACCTAGAGACTATTTAGAGTTACCAATCAGCCGAACATGCATGTTTCTGGTCTATGGAGGAAACTGGAGTACTCGGAGAAAACCCACACAGCATGAAGAGAACATGCAAACCCACCCAGAAGGGCCCTTAGTCGGGATTTGAACTGGAGCGACCTGCTCTATGAGAGACAGCAGTTCTACCAACTGCGCCACCGTACTGACTGAAAGAAGCTCAGTTCAAAAAAATAGTTTAGTTTAGAATTAATGAGCTAATGGCTGGGCAGCACGGTGGCACAGTTGGTAGAGCTGCTGCCTCTCAGCGAGCAGGTTACCCTGGTTCAAATCCCAGTCGGGGGCCTTTCTGGATCGAGTTTGCAGGTTCTCTCCGTGCATGCGTGGGTTTTCTCCAGGTACTCCGGTACTCAACTGGTGAGATACTAACTGTTAACTCCCTTTCTATAGAACCCCACTGCAAATATCTGAACCTTTCCTTTATTTATTTACAAAGTTTACAACTATGTAGAGTTGTTAAGCCCCTAAAAAGTTAAACATCTTTAATAGAGACTGTCAATGAAGCTGTTATAATCGTTTCAAACATCGTTTTTTGTCATGACTTCAAGTGAGACAAAGATGAATTATTTTTTTTTGTCTTGAGACACAATGAGAACAAAACCATAACACAACCGTATGTGGTTTCCCATAAACAGAGCAGCAACATTTGATTGGACTCAAGAATTTGTTGCGTGTGCACATAGCATGCAGGTAACAGCTTGTTAAAGACCGTTGTTTAGTCTGATAAGGAAATGCAAAAGAAATCCTTCAAACATTTTCTCTGAATGAAGATGAATAAGGCAGTCTAAATGAATGTTTAAATTTGTATGCATCTTCAATCATATTTTTAATGACCTTACATTCATTGTGCCAAAATCCATCACTGTGTCCACCATACAAAACACAACCTGATATGATTACTGGAGCTCACCATGGAATTGTTTAGCAGCTAAACTCAATTAGCAGGAAACAGCTGGAGTGTCAGCTGGAGTGTCTGCTAAAACGCTTACCAAGCTCACAGGAAAATTTGCAGCATAAACAACTAAAGCTAATGTTTCTTTATAAGGTTCATGTCTACATTATTAAAGAATAGGCTCAAATCACAGCTTGTCTGCTTGTCGAATGAGATGCCCAAAGGCTATCAAATGTCACAAAATTTTAGTTTTGACGTTGACTCATTAACTGATTGATAATCTATTCTGCTGTTTGTTTGCATATAATTTTATACCACGATACGTTTTACATTTGTTTTTTTCATGCCATCACATTTTAGCTGCCAGTTGGACACACGTCAAGTTACCAGGATCACCTTTTTCTTTGTGGTTTAAAACCAAATGTAATAAAAAGTAAATAAATTTGCTATGCCTCGGTGGCATGATGGTCAATGGGTTCTCATCAAAGTTGAGCACTTAAATATAATTATTACCACAGAAGAAGACACAAGTTCATAGTGATGAGACAATTGTAACATTTCAATTAATTTTAGACCATTTTCATTCATGGAAACAATGACAACCCTAAGTGAATGTGAAATAATGATGACAAACCTGCTAATACCTGCCTTTAAAGTGCCTTAGACCCTTATCTTAATTTACATATACTGTATCTTACACCGTACACGTCGCTCCGCCCTATAAGTTGCATCAGTCCCTATTTGTCAAATAAAGTGGAAAAATCCATAAATACGTCTCTTTGCCGCATACGTCACATCTATTATGCGTCACCGCTGATGCATCGCGTTTGTTACGCTTCACCACTGACAACCCGGAAATGTGGGCCGGTGTTTTGCAAAAAAAAAGGATGGGCTGCCAAATGGCGACCGTGGGAGCGTGCACGGGAGGACTTTAACGAGAATTTAACAAGATTAACACTTAAAAACAATTGTTTGTTTGCTCAAAATTATATTAAAAGTGTGTATCAATCTAACTTTTGCTTAATAAATGCACTTTGACGGTCAAATCAGCTGAATTTCAAAAGCCGATATGCGGAAGTAAATGTGTGCATGCGACGAGTCGCTGTGCAAATATAACAAGATAAACGCCTAAAAACAATTATATGTTTGCTCAGAATTATAGCAAAGGTGTGTCTCAGTCTAAGATTTGCTTAATAAATGCACTTTAATGGTCACATTAGCTGCAATTCGATGGGGCGGTGCAGCTGGTTTAATTGCAGAACTGCAGCAAGCAGAACAAAGGTAGGGGTTATATGGCAAGCCGATTGTATCATTAATATCTGGTAAAGATTCTCAGTCATCCAGGACATGGTAAATTAAAAAAAAGTTCAAGAAAAAAAACTAAAAAGTATAAAGTAAAGTATAATAAATAATTTCCAGCGGTTTCTGTCTTGCACTTTTTTGAATTTGTCATTATAGACACGTTTACCTATTACATGATACAACGACATGCCTTCAAACTACTCTGCTGCTATAAAGTGGCTGAAAGTGATACTGCTCAATTTTTTTTTCAGTCAGAATGAATGAAAACGGTCACATCTCAGCCAAAAATTGGTTTATAAATATGGGGGGAAAAAATCCATAAATATGTCGCTTCGGCCTATAAGTCGCAGGGTATGTAAATTATGCAAAAAAACTGCAACTTATAGGCCGAAAAATACAGTAACTACTTTGGGAGTACACTGAACAGGTTTGCATGCAACATGGTTCAGATTCAGAACATATCATTTCTCTGATAACGTACACAAATGCAACACTTTAAGCCTTCCCTGTGTTCAAACAGCAGCATGTGAGACAGACTCTGGGCCAGGGGTGTCAAACTCCGTTACAAACGGGGGTCAATATTCAAAACTTTTTTTCTAACCAAGGGTCAATTTCTGTCAATACATTATTATACATTGCTCCTCAACAAGAGCTTCATCAGTCTGTCACAACAAGTTTGCACTAAATAAAGTGTGCTCCATTTTTAAGTAAAATTAGAAGCAATTTAAATATTTTACTTTTATAATATCATCTTGAGGGGCAGACAAGATGTTAACAAGGGCCATATTTGGCTCTTGAACTTTGAGTGCTCAAGGGTCTTTCAAAAGACAGAAAATGGACATAAAACCAGTCCATCTCTATGCTGCCTCTGGCCATTCATAAATTCCCTTTGAAGCTGGCCACGCTTCAAGCGCAGATGTGAGAAGTGAGTTTTGAGAAATGAAACGAGCATCATGGAACCAAAAGAGGAGTGGCACAGAAAGCTGTGTTAACTTGGATCATAACACATGAAATGTGTGACGGGCGTCTTCTTAGTATTGTTTTCAAAACGTATCAAATATACTCAGTTTAGCAATTCTGTCTGTAGTCATTTAATTGTTTTAAACCAAATTCAAAGTGCCAATTTCCTTAATTTGGGGAAATTGGCCAATGCATGAGAAACCGATTTTACCGATTTTTTAGTTTTAACAATAATTTTCTAAACTTCATTTATATTTCAGAGCACTGCCTCATAACCAGTTAAAACAGGTTTGTGCTGTTTCCAGGATATTGTTCAAGGGTATGTTTTTCAACAAAATAAAATTGGAAAATTTAAGGTGCGTTGTGACCTTATAACACCTGACAGTGTCGCTTATCAAACAAAATCGGTATCGGCAGGTCAGACTTTTTAGAAATCGGTGATCGGCCATAAAACTGCAATCGGTGCACCCCTAGTTGCTATGCGTCATCATTGATCTTCTCTTAGTAATAGATGTCATCGCTTCATCACATTACTAAGCGGTGGCACTGGCTTATTTTTTCACATGACAACTATTTCGGCTCTGTTACTACCTCCCTTGGCAGCACAGAGTCAGATCAGGGGTGGGTTGGCTTTGATCCTCTTGTTAC